TTTCCGCAGGGGGCTCATCCCGGACGCCCACAGCTGCCTCGCCGACCTCTTTGCGGGCGGCCGCGTGAAAGAGCTCCTCGCGCAGGGCGTGTCCCAGTCGCGGTTCCATGAAAAGACCCCCGAGCAGGAGCGCGTGGAGCGGCGCCGGCAGATGCCGTATCACATGCACGTGAATCTGGAGCTGCTGGAGGCGGTGCATCTGCTGTGCGCCATGCTGCTCGAGGTGCCGTCGCTGGCCGCACACTCCACGGATGGGCGCAGGAGGGTGATTTCAAAGAACTTCCGCCGGCTGCTCGATATGTACGAGCGCCAGACCTTCACCGGCCCTCCTGGTGAGTCCCAACCCTATTTTCCTCTGCCATGGCGTCTGTCTAGAGGGAATATCCAATGGTGAGTGCTGGGGGGAGTGCGGGGGGCAGTGCTGGGGGTGAGTGTGGGGGCAGATGCCGTATCACATGCACGTGAATCTGGAGCTGCCAGAGGCCATGCATCTACCGTGCGCCATGCTGCTCGAGGTGCCGTCGCTGGCCGTGCACTCCACGGACGGACGTAGGCGCGGTATCTCGAAGAACTTCCCCCGGCTGCTCGATATGTACGAGCGCCAGACCTTGGAGTCTCTAAGAATTACCACCGGCCCTCCTGGTGAGTCCATCACTCCTTCTCGGAGTCCCGGCCGGTTTTCTTCTGTCCCGGCGTCTGTTTAGAGGGAGTTTTTCATGGGGAGTGCCTGAGGGAATGCCTGGGGAAATGGAGGGGAGAGCTGCGGTGAGTGCCAGGGCAGATGCCGTACCACATGCACGTGAATCTGGAATTGCTGGATGCGGTGCATCTGCTGTGCGGCGACTGGCAGAGGGCCGCGCAGCTGGACCTGTGGAGGCATGCTGCTGCTGTGTGCTAACCTCCTTTTCCCTCAGCTGCTGTGTGCTAACCTCCTCTGCAGAGCAGAGGACTTGAGGGGTGATGTGGAGGGTGCTTCTTGAGCTCTCATGTGCGGCGACTGGCTTCGGTCCGTGCAGCTGGCAGAGTTGCTGGACTTGTGGAAGCTGCTTCTTCAACCCGCCTCTTCTTTCCCCCCTTCTTCCCATCATCCCTCTTTCCTCAACGTTGTTGTTTTGAGCAGAGAACGTGAGGGATCATGTCATGGCTGCATCCCGCGCTCTCATGTGCGGCGACTGGCTGCGGTCCGTGCAGCTGGCAGAGTTGCTGGACTTGTGGAAGCTGCTTCTTCAACCCGCCTCTTCTTCCCCCCCCCTCCCCCCCCCCCCCCCCACCCCTTCCACCCATCCTCCCTCTTGCCCAAACGTCGTTCTTGCCTTGAGCAGAGAACGTGAGGGACCACGTGATGGCCGCATCCCGCGCTCTCATGTGTGGCGACTGGCTGCGGTCCGTGCAGCTGGCAGAGGCGCTGGACGTGTGGAAGCTGCTGCCAGTGGCGCAGAGGGAGGCGGTGCTGGGGATGCTGAGGGGGAAGATCCAGCAGGAGGCGCTCAGGACGTTCCTCTTCAATGCATCGTCCACCTATGCTTCCATCAGTCTTGACCAGCTCACGCAGGTGGGGTTGGGTGGGGTTGAATGTGGTTGAGTGGGGTTGGATGGAGTTGGGCTCAGCTGGGAATGGTGGGGTTTGGTGTGATTGAGTGGGCGGGGTAAAAGTTGGGGAGTTGAAGAGGGAGGCGGTGCTGGGGATGCTGCGAGGGAAGATCCAGCAGGAGGATCTGAGGACGTTCCTCTTTAACTCGTCATCCACTTATGCATCGATTAGTCTCGACCAGCTGACGCAGGTGGGGATGAAGTGCTGTTGGGTGGGACTGGATGGGGTTAGGTTGGGTTGTGTAGGATAGAAAGGGTATTGGATGGGACTGGGTAGGATTGCATGGGATTCTGTGGGAACTCGAAGGCTGAAAATGAGTCTTAGAGTCAAAGTTGCATGCCAAGATGCGTGAGTGAGAGAGTGTAGCTCATTTAGCCCTCCCTTAGCGGGTTGACTGAGAAGGCGGTGACGGGAGTGGCGAGTCACATGATGATGAACGAGGAGATCAGTGCCTCAGTTTCTCAACCTCCCAACTCCCTGTCTGCCCCCCTTCTGTATCTATCCCCTTGTGTTTGCACTTGTGTTGGTCTTGATCTGCAGATGTTTGGAATGACGGAGAAGGCGGTGACAGGAGTGGCAAGTTGCATGATGATGAATAGCGCCAGCTGGGACCAGCCCTCCCATTCCCTTATCGCCATCCTTCCCCTTGTTTTTGTGTTTGCTCTTCCCTCAATCTACAGATGTTTGGAATGACAGAGAAGGCGGTCACTGGTGTGGCGAGTCGCATGATGATGAATGAGGAGATCAGTGCCAGCTGGGACCAGCCCTCCAAGTGCATCGTGGTCAATGCAGTCAACCCCTCTCGCCTGCAGCACCTCGCCCTGCAGGTGGGAGCAGTGGGGAGGGTTAATTGGCGTTTGGCTGGTTGGCGATTTGGGTGGAAGTGGGGGTTGGTTGGGGTAGCATCTGGTCAACATGGTCAATGTGGTCAACCCCACTCGCCCGCAGCACCTCTGCCGTGTCTATGGGATTCGGGACCTTGCGTGGTGCTCAATGTGTCAATGTGCAGTGTGTGTAGCCTCTACCCCTGTGGCTCCAGATTTATTTTTGGAAAGAAGTTGCTCCTTCTGCATTGTCTGGTGTTTGCAAGAGACTGACAACCAGCCTTGTCTTAGCTTCTAATTTTGCTTCCGCGCCTTCGTCACTTGCCTTTCCTTCTCCCTGTCGCCTCTTTCTTCCTCCCATGTTTCCACTTGATACAGTATGCCGATAAGCTATCATTCCTGGTGGAGGGCAACGAGCGGGCCTTCCCAAAGCATTTGCCATCCTCACTCTCCTTTCCTCCTCCCTTTCCACCACCCCACTCCCCTGTCCCCTTCCCTTACAGTATGCCGATAAGCTATCATTCCTGGTGGAGGGCAACGAGCGGGCCTTCTCAGAGAAGACAGGCGGCATGACCATCGAAGGCGCAGGGGGAGAGAGAGGCGGGGGCAGGCGGGGCAAGGACGGAGGCGGGGACTACGGAGGCGGGCGCAGGGATGACTATGGTGGTGGGGGTGGGGAGAGGTACGGGAGAGGGGGAGGACGAGGGGGGTATGGGGGCCGAGGGGGAGGGAGAGGAGGATGGGGAGGTGGTGGGGGTGGTGGTGGTGGTGGGGGCGGGAGAGGGGGTTATAGAGGGGGTGATGGGGGAGGAAGGGGAGGTCGTGGAGGCAGAGGGGGGTATAGAGGAGGGGATGGAGGAGGGAGGGGAGGAAGGGGTGGTGGTGGTGGTGACGCCAGTAGGTTTGTCAACCTTGGTCGGGCGGGAGGGTATTAAATCGAGTGGCTGTTCTGATCAAATCCTGCTGTTAAACGTGTGCCTAAAATCCCGAATTTTGGTGCGACGCAGTGAAGGTTTTGTGTGGAAGAGAAGGGTTGGTTGGTTTAGAGGGAACAAGTTTTACAGAGTATTAAGCCTGTTGGTGAGATGAGTAGTTGGGGAGCTTGGAACATGCTGCTGATGTGCTGCCCTTTTAAGTCCATAGGGTTTAGAATATTGTGTCATCAAGTTTGCCTCTTATGTTGTGCCACCAAACACTTCCTGCAACTCATTTTGCATTACAACAACTCATAAGGCAGTCTTTCAAATTCATTTCTGAAAGCAGCCTGAATTCTAATTCACTTCATAGAGAAAATGCCTGTACTGTTAGTCAACACCTCTGTTTGGCAGCACCTCACTTTGAGAAAATCACCTGGACCTAAGCAGGGAATGTTGAACAGGTGCCGCCTTGGAGCAGCGCTCAGAACTATGTTTCAATCCAGGCATAGGTAGTGCAGCAGCAGCATCTACGAACGCCAGTTGGTGTCCAAAACCACTGAAGATCGTGTGTGAAGTTGTGAGTGCGTGTGTTGTGCACCCATTTACGGTACCCTGCCATTTTTAGATGAGCCTGCCTGATACAGCATGTCCGCAAGGGCACGGCTAAAAGGGTTGGGCTATGATACCATGGGTACAAGGGACTGGTTAGAAGAGCATGGCGTTGTGCGCGAGGTCACGGAGGTTCTGCAACACCATAGGGCGAGTGGAACCGATGTCCTCTGCTAGCTGCTGCTGCTGACTGTCATCCATTAGTGCGTACCTGGTGGGTGCATGCGTAATTGCATGGGATACATGCGATGCGATAAATGGGATACACAGGTTAAGGGTGGATGGGTATATGGGTGGATGGATGCATGGATGCATGTCACATTGGAAGAGCTGATGGGTGCCCTCCATGAGTGCGTACCTGGTGGGTGCATGCATGTGATACATGGGGTGAGATAGTACTTGTATGGGGTGCATGGGTTACGTGGTTGGGTCATGCGCACATGGGTCCATGGGTGCAAGGGTGCACGAGGTGTGCTCACTTGTGGGATGCATGGGAAGTAGCAGGAGCGTGTGACAGGGGTAGAGCTCACAGGTGAACAATGTCAATCAGCCTCCTAAGATCACCACCGGAAGCAACCCTAGACGCAGAATTTCTTCAGTCGCGTAAACTACGGTAGTATTGGAGAGGTCAACTTACTGAGCAAGAAGCTGCGAGTCGATCACTCGCTCCACACCCGAGAGCTGCTGCCCCTTCCCCAGCCCTTGCACCGCCTTTTGAGACGTCTCAAAAGTTGCCCAGCCCCTGCACCGCCCGGAACGCCAGTGACAGCAGCACGACCGCCTGTCGTTCCGAATGTCCAATGCCAAGCTATTGCAAATGAGAAGTTACCGACACCTCACAATAACTTACTGAGCCAGAAGCTGCGAGTCGATCACTCGCTCCACACCCGAGAGCTGCTGCCCCTTCCCCAGCCCTTGCACCGCCTTTTGAGACGTCTCAAAAGTTGCCCAGCCCCTGCACCGCCCGGAACGCCAGTGACAGCAGCACGACCGCCTGTCGTTCTGAATGTCCAATGCCAAGCTATTGCAAATGAGAAGTTACCGACACCTCACAATAACTTACTGAGCCAGAAGCTGTGAGTCAATCACTCGCTCCACACCCGAGTGCTGCTGCCCCTTGCCCAGCCCTTGCACCGCCCGGAACGCCAGCGGGTGTAACCCTGCAGCCTGCTCCACTGCGGTTACCATGTAACGCTGCACCGTATCCAGCCTCCGAAACACCAGCTCTGGCACCGGCGTCACCACCGCAATCGCTCCCCCAAGCGTCCCCGCCAGCACGCCGAACCTGTTGGTTCGGCCCGAAGCAGCAGCCGCTGGGTTCCTCTGCTGCCCCCCTACCCCTCCTGCTGCTGTGGTGGCAAGAGGAGGAGGCAGCGGCAACCGGAGAACCTTCGAGAGCACCTCTCCTGTGTGGAAAGATGCCTTAAGCAGCAGCTTCTGACCCATGTGTGTCTCGATCGACTTTGAGTAGGCAAAGACTTGGAGGTTCTTGGCTGTGTCGGTGGCTAGCAGGCCGAGAGCTGAGCCGTCGATGAGGAAATCGACGGCTGTGATCGGAAGAGAGGAGAAGTCGCGTGCGAGGAGGGTGAGCTGAGCTCCCTCTTCTCTCCAGTGCAGGAAGTAGACGCTCTTTAGCACATCCCCTACAATCACAAAGCTCTTCACCTGAATAACACCAAGGGAGGGAGAGGGGAAGTTGGGAGGAAAGTAGGGAGGGTGGGTGGTGGGTTAATGTGAGAAGAGAAACGCAGAACTTTTAATTTGGAAAGGGTGATGAGCTGAGCTCCCTACTCTCTCCAGCGCAGGAAGTATGCGCTCTGTAACGCATCCCCTAGAATCACAAAGCTTTCTATCTCATTCCACATGTACAGTACAGCACCAGCTGCCGCCCCACCGCCTGCAGCAGATTAGGGAGGCCCTAAACGGAACTGCAGCTCTTAATCAAACCCAACCACTCACCGTTGCCATGGAGACCACGTAGAGAGGAGCATCAAGGAAGGCAATTCCTTCTAATTCCACTCCGTTCCATGCATACAGCACCAGCTGCCGCCCCACTGCGAGCAGCAGATTGCCCTGCAGCGCCGTGAGTGCTGCCACGCTGCCTCTTTGACTGCTACCCGCTATGGGCTCCTTTGAATAGAGCTCCCTCAGCTGGTGGGATTAAGTTTGGTGTGGAGACAAGGAAGGGAAGAGAAAAGAGGAGGGTGTCTCAGCTCTGTCCGAACATTCTGCCATGCCATGCTGCCCCTCTAGGAAAACACACGCTGCACAAGGGATGAAAGGCGACAGACGGGCAATCAAGGGAAGCAGCGAAAAGGCAGGCTCACCAAGGGAATTCCAATGCTTCCACCTGCCGCTTTACCCTCTGCATCTGCCGCTGCGGCTGCACCAGTACCAGCAGCAGCAGGACCATCCCCATCAGCTGTTGCCAGTGGGTTGTACTCAAAGAGCAGAATCCTGCCTTTCCCAGGTGCGTCCTCCCCTGTTATGAACGTCGTACACACTGCCAGGAGCGTCTGTAGCTGCCCACTGCTGCGATTCCTCAGCACCACTGACTTTACCATTGTCACCGCTTCAAACGGCTGGAACTCAAATCTCTGCCGAACCTCCAGGGCGCGGCTCGGGGCCTCCAGGCTCGGACAGGTTACCACCCGAAGCTGGAAGTCCTCAACCATGGATACTGCTTCGGTGTCTTTATCCGAGCCTGTGCCGGAGGCTCCTGGAGCTCCCGGACCTCCAGGTCCGGCCGAGCCTAGTGCTGCGGTTGAGGGATCTTTTGGGTCTTCTAAGGAAGGAACGAGGAATTGAGAGACAGGGCGGGACACCTGAAAGAGGGAGAGTGAGAGGAAGAGTGAAAGAAAGAGTGAGTAATGGAATGACGGAGGGATGAAGAAACTAGGGTGGAATACTTGAATGGAGTTCGAGGGAGAGGTGGGGACGGTAGAGCATTGCAGTGTAGAAAGAAAAGATCGTTTGCAACAAAACTGGAGGAGAAGCAGGAGGGATCAAGCAAAGGTGGGAGGCGTACTGGGGTTGAGGTAACAAGGAAAAGATGAGCTGCATCGGGAGAAAGTGTGACCGAGTGAGGGGTTGAGCGCAGTGGAATCTGTATAATGGGGGGGAATGGGGTAGAGTGTGGAAGAGTAGGGGAGAGTGGGGGAGGGGAGAACATATGTGGACTGTGCAAGTGTTTGTTGAGAATTCTAAACAAATGGCAGTGGGGAGGGAAGGCGCGGGAGGGGAAGGTGAACAAGTGGTGAAAAAAGAAAGGAAGAGAGAAAAGAACCAGAAAAAGAGAGGCATTTTGGCGTCAAACTTCCCCGAAACCCAATTTGCGCATGCGCACACCTTATTCAACGGCCACGCATTGTCAAACTGGAAGAGCGGGGGCAGCTGGCAGATGGAGAGCACTCCGAGAGAGGAGATGAGGAGGAAGCCGTGCGTACAGTTGACGTTGTGGAAGGGCGCCATTGCCACCACGCTTGATGCTGCCTCTGCGGCCTGCGTTGGAGATGGGTGCATATGTGGTAGTACATGCGTTGCATTTTGTTACGAAGGAGAAGAATGGAGGCAGATGGGGAACGAGGGAAGAAGTCTGGGAAATTTTCAGTGTCTGCCTGCTTTCTTTAATCTAGTGAACATTTCGATTTGAGAGCACGATCAAAGGCACGAGATACCAAAGCATAGGGTTGCAGAAATACATGGGGTGCACCAATTAGCAAGGCAGGCTTGACACACCACAGTAGGGTTGAGCAAAAAAACGGTCTGGGCCCGGCCCGGAAATGCCCCGGGCCGGGCCTCGAAATTTGGCTGTCGGCCTGGGGCGGGCCGGGCAGGCCCGCCCCCCCGGGCTGGGGCCGGCCCGCTTTTGGCCCTCCCGTTTCGGGGCGGGCCGGGCCGGCCCGGCCCGGGTTGGACCCTAGACTTCTTTGCCTCTCTAAAACAGGCCCAAAACACCATTTACCTATAACGGAAGTGCACCTGGGCCGGGCCGGGCCCAGTCCGGGCCTTGCACGGCCCGAGTCGGGCCACCCTGGCCCGAGTACAAACTGGGCCGGCCCGGGCCAGGGTCTTGCTCATTCGGCCCGGGTTGGGCCGGGCTTCATGGGCCCGGCCTGGCCCGACCCATGGTCAAGCCTACACCACAGCGTGCATGTTTTTCATACTCACCACGGGGTGCATCCACACTCTATCTCGCAGCAGCATCAGCCATCTCAGCCTGCTGCCAGCCACAAACACACCGCCAATGCCACCACCACCACCCTTACCCCTCCCACCCACACCCCCGCCTCCACCCCCTCCTCCACTCCCGTCCAGCCCCACCCCTTGAAACGGAAACAGCATCTTCTTTCTCACTCTCCCAGACTTCCTGCTCCTCTCTGCACCCTCCTCCCCCTGCGCCTTCTCTTCTGCTGCAGTATCGCCTCCCGCAGTTTCACCTCCCCCACTCTCACCTTCCCCCTTCTCACCTCCCTCCTGCTTCACCCTGCCCTCTTCCCCTCCTCCCCCACCACCAGCACCTGCCCCTCCCCCCACCGCCCGCTCCCCTCTCCCCTCCTCGTCTTCCTCCTCCCCCTCCACCTCATGAATCCCTGCCTCTTCCTCCTCTAAACAAACCCTCTGAAACCGCAACCCACCTACCCCGTATCCACCTAACCCTAATCCACCTACCCCAGTGCTACCTGCCCTTCCTCCAGGTTCCCCCTCCGCCACCCCCTGCCCTCCTCCTCCCCCTGCTCGCCCTCCCACCCTTGCACCACGCTCCCCTGTTACTGTCACACTCGCTGCAATCACATCGCCAGGGGAGGCTCCCGAGGGGCAGAACGCTTTGAACCCCAGCAGCCGCCCGTCTGAAAGCACAACAAACAAAAACAGCCGCCCAGTGACGGGGTTGACGGATACGTGCAGATCCACGGCGAAATGCTTCGGCCAATCAGGTGCCGAAGGGGAGGTGACAACTGGTGCAGGCGTGTGTGCTGCTACTGCCCTTTCTGCTCCATCCTTCTCTGTTTTCAGTGATGCTTCTGTCTCTTTCACCTCTGCCTTTACCTCCTCCTCCTTCTCTTCTACTTTCACTCCCACACCCTTAACCCCACCACTCCCAGCACCTTTGCCAGCACCACTGCCACCATCCATGTCAACATCAACCTCTTTCCCCTCCTCCTTCCCCTCCTCCCTCTTCTCCTCCTTCATCCCCATCTCCTCATCCCTTTCCACCTCTGCTTTCCCCACCTCCTTCTTCTCCACTGCCTCCTTCTCAGCTTTCTCGGGCTTTAAGTCTACCTCCATTGCTTCACTCCCTGCTGTAGCGCCGGCTGTAACGGAACCTGTAGGGGCAGTTGTAGCGGCGGCTGCAGCTGTGGCTTCTCCTCCCACGGGAAGAGAAGCTTTTCCTCCTCTGCCTGCCTCTGCTGCATCTGTAGCAGTAGCAGCAGCAACAACAGCCGCCGTAGCAGCGGCTGCAGCAGGAGTGTTCTTCAAAAGAGTGTGACTATCAGCAAGGCCCAGGGAGGAGAACACGCAGCGGAGAGTAGGGAGCAGGTACAACTGGAGCAGGCCAGACCTACGAGCCACAGCACACAAGGGAACAGGAGGAGGAGGAGGAGCAGCAGTAGAGGAGGGAGATCCTTTGCTGCTGCTGTTACCACCGCTGCTGCCACCACTACTGCCAAGAGCACAAGCCAATGCACTGCTGGTGCTGGTGCCGCTGGTGGTGGTTGTGGAGCTATGGGAATTGGATATGGCTGGCGAGGGGGAAAGGAGGAGAGAGTAGGCGGTTATAGGATCAGCGGAAGGAGAGGGGAGCTGGCATGGAATGGGCACCAGAGAGAGAGGCTTGGACGGATCTGCAGGTGGGTGGGATGTTGGGAGAAAAAAAAAAAAAAAAAAAAAAAAATGTTACTTGTTTGTTTACCATCATGCACGCACAAAACATGGCTATTTAAAAACCATTTTTAGCATAGATAGTTGTACCAAGCATCCTTTGCAAAGAATGGCACCACCATTCTTTGCAATGAACAAGAGCACTACCTGGCCCAAGTAGAATGAATCGGCCATCCACCAATTGCAGCATGACATATGGATCCGCCACGTCAGCAGACTCAATCTCCACGTCCTCACCCCCCTCCTTCCCCTCCTCCTTCCCCTCCCCACCCCCTTCCCCTGCCCCAGCCACCATGCCACGTGGCAGCATCTCCTGCAGCAGGCTGGCTGAGCTGGCGAGCAATCGGACGGCGGAGGGAGTGACTTGGAGTATGCAGCGGCGGGAGAAGAGGTTGGCGGCCAGGAGGGTGGGCGCGTCTGTGATAAAACTCACCTCTGCTGACACCTCCCGAAGCAGCTCACCAGTTTCTAGTACCTGCGGGAAGGAAGGAGGGTCGGGGGGAGGGGGGATCGGGGCGGGAAGGGCAGGAGAGGGAGGGAGTAACTTGAATTTAGCAGCGGCGGGAGAAGAGGTTGGCGGCCAGGAAGGTGGGCGCGTGTGTGATGAAACTGACTTCTGTCGACACCTCCCGAAGCAGCTCACCTGTTTCTAGCACCTGAGGGGGGAAGCAGGAAAGGGGGGAAGGGGCAGGAGGGACCAGGAGAGAGAAGAGATTGGTGGCTATGACGGTGGGCGCGTGTGTGATGAAACTGCCTTCCGCTGATACCAGTGACAGCAAGGAGCATGGGAGAGTGGTAGATACATGAGAAGACAGCTCATGCATCATCTAAATGCTACCTACCTACTATCATCTCCCTTCCCTTCTCACCATGCTTTGCCCTTCAAACGCCAGCACAAGGAACCCATGGTAACTGCTGCCTCTATCTCCCTTCCCACCTTCTCCACCACCCACCCCACTCCCTCCCTCCACCTCCATTGCACCTGCTCCAGACCCCTGCTCACCACCCTCAACCCCTCCTATACCTCCCTTTCCTGCTCCCTCCCCCTCTACGGCTGTCCCTCCTGCCTCGCCTGCTGCTGCCTGCCCATCTTCTCCTCCCTCCCTTGCTTCAGAAGGAAGCTCAGAGCCATAGACAGTCCACAGGCCGCAGCAGCCAGGCAGATCCTCCTGTGATGGTGAAGGGAGGAAGGGAGGAACGGAAGGCACGAGTTGTAATGGGCACAGGCACAAGGGCACTTTTGAAAGAAAAGGTGAGCAATTTTTAATAACTCTAAGCAATCGCTTTAGAAATAGAGTTAAGAGAAAGCTTCAGACAGGTTACAGCAGCCATCACCAAACATGCTGGTTGGTATGGTAATGAGAGGAAGCTCCCACCGATACAAATATATATATATATATACATATATATATAATGTTTTAATCACTGTGAGAGGATGCTCCTGCCAAGCTTCGTGGAGTGGCAGAACCTGTGAGCACGTCTAGTGGTACTCGCTGCAGCAGCACCAACAGAGCGCCATATTGAGATCACTCTTTAAAAACTCACCCCCAGCACCACGCAGTACCTGTGTTAGCACGTCCAGTGGCACTCGCTGCAGCAGCACCGACAGAGCGCCATTCTTCCCATGCCCACTGCACGCCACTAGCATCTGATGCTGCTGCTGCTGTTCCTTCTGGGGAGTGGGCGCGGGGAACGCTGGGACGGGCACGAGGTCTCGGATGGGGCCGATGTTGAGCAGCGAGTCGCACACACGGAAGGAGAAGCCCTCCTGCCCCTGCTCCTCCTCCTCCGCACCAGCAGCTGCATCAGCAGGAGCTGCAGGAACAGCTGCAGCAGTGCCTTCGCCATCAGAGGCTTCGTCTGCTTTCAAGCGCTTGGCCCCTCGCTGCTTCTCCTGGAATAATCACGCGTGGGCACAGATAGGCGGGATGGAACGTGGGGAAGGAGGGGGGCGGCGGAGTGGAGGCGATTTTTGAGTCGATTTCTGAGTCGACTCAAAAATGGGCACAGATAGGAGGGATGGAAAGTGGGGAAGGAGGGGGGAGGCGGAGTGGAGGCGAAGAGCAAGGGGAAAAGAGGGGATGAAAGGGGAGACGAAGGGAGGTGCGAATGGTGGAGGCAGAGGGGAAAGATATCGAGTTTGTGGGGAGTTTGTGGGGTGAATTGAATCAGGTGCAAATTAGTGGAAGAAGGACAAGTCAGGAGCAAAGCCAGGGGCAAAGATGCAACACTGTGTGTGAGAGATTGGAAATCAACTACGAAATCCTTGCTTACATCGTGACTTACCAGTCCGTGCTCATTGGCTCGGTAGCGAATGAGCATGCTGTCGCCGAGCCTGCTGGCCACGAACAGCAAGTTCGGGCCGAGGCTGAGGATGCCCGAGGCCTGCACGGTGGCCCGAACCTGCAGTAGGTCCAAGCGGAATGTAGTCGCTCTGTGGCATAAGGTGGGGAGGATGGGGGTGTGGGGTGACGGGGGGCGGAGGTGTTGGGGAAAAAGGGCTCAACAGCCTGATGATGACTGATAGCTGCCTGCCTGCACGGTGGCCCGAACCTGCAGCAGGTCCAAGCGGAAGGTAGTCGCCCTGTGGAATAAGGTTGGGTTGGGGAGGGGGGGGTGCAGTGAGTGAGTGGGGAACAGGTAAGCTCAATACAAGGCACGAACATGGAGCATGCTCAAACAGAAGGGGGTGGGTGGGGCGGTGTGGAGGAGGGTGGAAATGTTTTGAGGGAGGAAAGGGTGAGAGGGTGGAACTGGAAACCGCTCATTTGCGTGGAACATCCTCAATGTGGGATTCGTGATTAAAAGGGTTGATAAACAGTCTGATGCGTTTCTGTATGACCACTAGCCTACACGAACCGTGGCACATACCTGTATTGAGACCTGGACAGTGTTTTGAGACGTCTCAAAACAATGCGTTTCTGTATGACCACTAGCCTACACGAACCGTGGCACAGACCTGTATTGAGACCTGGACAGGAAGATGGCTCGGGTGGCCTGACGTGTTGTATAGTGGGCGGATGGAGAGACGCAGAGGGAGCAAGCGGAAAGCACAGCCGCTTTCCACTCTCTTGCAAGCATGACAACGTACAGAATCTGGGATAGGTACGTCTGTCCTTTCTTTGACTCCCCTACTTCCACTTGCCATGTCGCTAACCTAAGCTTGACTCATCCCACGTCCTTACTTGGCCTCAGGAGTCACTTTCACCACCACCAGAGCGCCGCCTTTACTCGCAAGAAACGCAACAGCACTGCTGCTGCTGCTACCTCCGCCGCTCCTGCTGCTCCCACCAACCCCGACCGGCCCTCCACTTGGCCCAATCACAGGCTGCCACGTGGCATGGGCTGCTTCCAGCTCCACAGACAGCGGCGCCTGCCCTGGCTGCTGACGTGGACGGGGGATCTCGGTGCCATCTGGCAGTGCGGGCGGCGACGAATCGTTGAGAGCCAGGTGGCAGGTGGAGGAGGAGGAACAGAAGTGGAGGGAGTGGGGGGAGAGGACGAGGAGCCCCCCGGGGGGGAAGGGGGCGGGGGAGAGCGCGTAGGAGTCAAACGGAAGATGCTGCAAGAAGGGTGGAGCAGGGAGGGGAAGGAGGGAAGGCTCGTTTTTAAGAACTCTCAAGGAGCGGAAGTGGAGGGAGTGGGGAGGGAGGACGAGCCGGCTCCAGGGAGGGAAGGGGGCTGGGGAGAGCGCGTAGGAGTCGAAGGGGAGATGCTGCAAGAACGGTGGAGCGCGGGGGGAGAAGGTGGGGGGAGCGAGGAGAGCGGGAGGGGAGAGGGAGGGAGCGGGAGGGGAGAGGGGAAGAGGTTTTGGGGAAGGGGGCGGAGAACAGGCTGTAGTAGGAGTTGAAAGGAAGATGCTGCAAGAAGGGTGGAGCGAGGGGGGAGAGGGAGGGGAGAGGGAGGGGAGAGGGAGGGGAGAGGGAGGCAATGACCCTCGCAGAGAAAATCCGCTGGTGTGAGGGGGTCGTCCCAGGAATGAGGTGTGAGGGGGTCGTCCCAGGAATGAGGTGTGAGGGGGTGGTCCCAAGTATGAGATGTGAGCGGGTGTGCAGGGACACTCGCAGAAAGGTGACAGCACAGGAGAAGCGGGCCCCTAGAACAGCAGGGGACGAGCCTCCCAACCTCCCCGCCCATACGCTGCCCTCCTCCCACAACACTGCTACTATGCTCACCTTGGTGGTCCCAAGTATGAGATGTGAGCGGGTGTGCAGGGACACTCGCAGAAAGGTGACAGCACAGGAGAAGCGGGCCTCTAGAACAGCAGGGGAGGAGCCTCCCAGCCTCCCCGCCCACGCGCTGCCCTCCTCCCACAACACTGCTACGATCGGGTCTCCAGGCTCGGACAAAAAGACAAAATCCCGCACCTGGAGGTTCGGGAGGATAGGACAGGGGAGGAGGACGAAGGAGCGTACAGGAAAGGCTTCTGAGGGGCCTTGATTGAAGGAGGCACAGGGAAGGAAGGCTATTGAGGCGGGCACATAGGAAGAGGCACAGAAAAGGTTAGGAAAAGAGGTTTTTGCACAGCAAACGGGCTGCAGCAGATCCTTCTATCTGGGTTTGCAATCCCCTCATTTGTGAACGCAACGTTGCAGAAACTCAATTCATGCGGTGCAGATATCTAATATTGGAAATCCCAAGGGGACAAGACAATACAATCACTGAGGCGCCTTGAAAATGCAGACTACCTACCTACCTACGGCCTCGCATCCACAACAGCCGAGCAGATTGCAGTGCGGATTTCTTACATTGGAGATCCCAAGGGGGCGCAAGTCGATAGTAAACGAGCCGCCGAACCTGGGAGCCTCGCCTGCCAAGCCTCCTCGGAAAGAGGAGGAACGGTCCAAGCCTCCCTTGAAGGAAGCAGAACGTTGGGTTGTGGGAGAGATGAGGGCTTCTGGTCCTGTCTCCGTGTTGCCTGGATGGATGTGACCTGTCTGGGTGTGACCTGGCTGCTTGCGAGTGAGGAAGTGCAGGTGGCAACGGTACACCAGCACAGCAGAGCACCTGCCCGACCAATCGGAGCGTGCGATGGGCGGGAGCGGAAAGTTTTCCCTGCCCCGCTTTCGAGCTGTCCACTCAGGCCCTTCGAGGTAATGCAAGGAGCTGTTGGAATGACAGTGCGGGTGGGTGGTTGGGTGGGGCGGTTTTTGAGGTGGCCAATAGAAAGCCTTGCTTTCGAGCTGCCCACTCGGGCCCTTCGAAGTAGTGCAGGGAGCTGTTTGGAATCACAGTGCGGATGGGTGGGTGGGTGGGTGGGTGGGTGGGTGGGTGGGTGGGTGAGGTGGTTTTTTAGGGCCCAAAAGAAAGCGCCACTTTTGAGTCGTCTACTCAGGCCCTTCGCAGTAGTGCATGCAGGGAGCTTTTTGGAATCACAGGGCGGGTGGGTGCATGGAAGGGTTGGTTGAGGCGAATGAAGAACACCCTGCTTTGAAAAAGATTGCATGGTGTGCCACCCACAGCATGCCTTGTTCACTGCTCAGTGCCCCCATGCATTCATACCCATGCATGCAGGCATGCACCATCCGCACCTGACTTTAAGCCTCTGCACCGCATCATCAAACTCCACCACGGACACTTTGGCATCTCGAAACGTCAGCACCAACGCATCCTTGCGACCACTGTACCCCATGTTGCCGCCGCTGCCACTGCTGCTGCCGCCGCTGTTTCCACTGCCAAAGCCACCACCAGTAGCGCCCAGTGCTGCACTCGGGTCCCATGCGCTCCCCGCACCACCTCTTCCTTCTCTCCTTCCCGATTGCCGTCCCCCCCTCCCTCTCCCTCCTCTCCCGGACCCCTCTCCCCCAGCCGCCCCTCGCCCTGCTCCTCTTCCCCCACCACCGGCAGAGTTAGATCCACCTCCCCCAGTCCCCGCCCAGCCTGCTGCGTCAGTTGCTGCCGCGCCTGGCACGACCGTTATGCTCTCTACCACTCCATTCAGCCTGGAGCAAGAGGAAAGAGAGAAAAGGAGGGCAATATTTACGCGCCTCAAAAGTCGGCTGCTGCCGCGCCTGGCACAACCGCTATGCACTCTACAGCTCCGTTCAGCCTGTAACAAGAGGAAAAGGGAGAGAAGGAGGTCAAATGGAAAGATAATAAAGGAAGTAACTTTTTTACCTTCGTTTTCATTCTTGCATTTACTTCCCCACCTGAACTCGCAGACAACATCCAGGGTTGTTCCAGGAAAAACGCTGCTTCCCGCTTCCCCTTCCCCTCCCCATCCTCCGCCTCCCGAGTTTGACTTACCATCACTTTCATTCTTGCATTTATCCCCACCTGAACTAGTAAACTCCAGTGTTGCTCCAGGAAGTGACTTCAAAGCTTGTTTTACCTTCGCTTTGATTCTTGCGTGTACCCCCCACCTGAACTCGCAGACAACATCCAGGGTTGCTCCAGGAAGAACGCTGTTTCCTGCATCATTGCGACTTCCCCCGTCTTTCCCCGCTTCCCCTTTCCGCTCCCCCCCCTCCGCCTCCCCGTGCACCGCGTCGCTTCGCACCGAAAACACTTGCAAGACATTTCCGCGGCTGACGATCAGGTTCGACAGAGGCTCGGCGGCCGCGGAGCGAGTAAGAAACCCGGACGCACAGCATGTGACGCCGGTCGGCGGGTGGACAACTTTATAGGCCGCGTAACTCATGTCTGCTGTAACTGTTGACAGGTGACCTGGCGACGAGACGGCGTATCATGTAGCCTCCTGTTGCAGCTTGAAATGCACGCTGATCGCGTGAATCTAGGCAATATTCACTCCAGAAATCTACCAGTGTCGTGAAATGTGATGATCGGTCAGAACGGGGCAGGTTGTAGCCGCAATGCGATGTCACTGACACGACGACAAGCAGGTGTGAGCGCGAAAAAGGCTTTCCATGATTGCTGCAGCAGTGAGCTCAGCCTTTTTGGCTGAGCGATCAAACAAAACGCTTGCGCCAAAGAGCGTTCCAAGAACTGCTTGGGAAAAGCTGGTTCGGTCATACATCTTATTACTAAATATTATTTACAGCCTTGATTCAATAGTGAGATATTTGACTCACAACCAGAATGGTTAGCAAAAACAAATAACAGCTACACTCAGCAAACCACACCAAGAAATGACAGTATCAAAGAATCCATAAGCAAGTGCAGCTATTAAATAAGACGCCGATGGAGCGACTCGAGAGATTGCACAAACACGGCAGCCTGGTGTCTGAACACTGAACTCTGAGAGTCTATGTTGGCCTGAGAGACTTTGGGGACCATATCAGCGCCATTTCAGCAGAACCTTCTGACCATATCTTCAGAGCTTGAGCGTAAGATCAACCTTAGGAGCTCCTCTTTGCTTCTTGATTTCATCCATCTCTCCACCTGCTGCATCCACTCCATTGTCTGCCCCATTAGCAGCCTCAAATGCATTCAATGGAACACCCTTCATCGGAAACGCTGCTACTGAACCGAACCCTAATGCGGATGCTTTAGACTTGCCGGAATTTCCAAGGCCCTTGGTTTCATTCCGGTCGAGCAGCGTCCCAGTTCCCGCCAAAAGCTTTGCGGCTGCGTTGACAACTTCGGGGGGAGGGGCAGATCTGTGCGACCGGGGAACGGGCAGCCAAGCAGAAGCGGAGCCACTACCCGCGGAACCACTGCCCCCTGCAGCAGGGGTTTCATCCCCGTGCTCCGCCACCACGCTCGAAGCAGCACCAGACTCTTTTTTCGGCTGACCCAGCGAACGTTTCATCTGCCCAAGCATCCAATCGATGGCTGGGATCGCATCTGGCGAGGGGGAGACTTCAGACGTAAGCGACGATCGATCCGCAGTGCCGGGAGAAGCAGCATCACCATCCTTTCCGCCGTTCTCTGCCCCGTTCTCAGCCGCCATCGCGAAAGGTTTCATAGCGCCGCTACTGCCCTGCTGCTCTTGAACCTGTAACAAACCGGCATCGTTAGCGGCGCCTTCAGTTGCGCCGTTGGCGACGGACACCGCGGGTTTCAGAACGGAAGTTTGCGGCAAGCTCGCGGACGGCGCACGTAACGTGCTCTCGAGCGGTTTGACCAAGGAGAAAATATTATAGCCGTGAACAGGGATACCAAGGACAGGCGGCGGCGCGTTCCCCGCCTCTGCGCTAAGAGGCGTAGCTGCTGCGAACATTTGCGATTGCATTATTTGGGCCTGTTGTTGCTGCAACTGCAGTTGTTGCTGCTGTTGCTGCTGCTGCTGCTGCTGCTGCTGCTGCTGCTGCTGCTGCTGCTGCTGCTGCTGCTGCTGCTGCTGCTGCTGCTGCTGCTGCTGTTGCTGCGCAGCTTCGTACATGACCTGCGAGAACGATCCTAGCGAAGAACACGGCCCAGCGGCGCCAGTGGCAGGCGCAACCATTGCCGCAGCCGCAGCCGCCGCGGCCGCCGCTGCCGCCGCAGCATACGGGCCACCGGAAAACGTCGACGGGTGAATAGGCGTCGCGCTCAGATTCGCGCCGTAGAGCATAGACACGTGCATGGGCGGAAACCCGGCGGAGGGGATAGAAGTAGCGGATGCGGGCAATCGGGGTAAAAGCTGCGGCATTTTCCGTTCGGAGACTGCAGGCTGGCTTGTGGTGAGGTTAGATTGGTCCGTAGTCGTGGTACCGCCAGTAACGCCTGTAGCTGTCTGTTCCAGCGGGTTACAAGCCGCAGAGGTACCGCCGGCTGAAGAGGCTGCGCCAATCGCTGCGGACGCAGTTCGTGCAGCTGCAGATGCGGTTTGCGATGCCGCTACCGCCGCCGCCGCTGCCGCTGCGGCTGCCGCGCGATCTTTCTTCGAAGGACGTCCTCTTTTCCGCGGTCGAAGCGCGAGAGCCGGATTGCTCAACGCCTCTGACGCATTTTCGTTCAACCGCTTGCCCTTGCTGTCGGATCCGGTCGTGGCGGCGGCAGCAGCGGCGGAGGCGGAAGCTCCCGCTTCCATCAGCTGCGCCGCAGCGAGAGTGTTCGTCAGGCGGAACTGCGGGAACGTGAACATAGGCGGGGCAGGCTCGCCTCCGGGGAACGAGTAGCACGCGGAACCGATGGTTGCGGGAGGCGGGAGCGCCTGGCAGTGGAATGGCGGGGAGGCCCACATGGGCGCGTGGGACTGCACTTGCGCCGCAGCAGCAGCAGCTGCAGCCGCGGAAGCGGGCCAGGCGGAGGAGCCGTCCGGGGGGACGACGCTGCAGGAAGGGGTCATGGAGTGTTGCGCGGACACCATAGGGTCGTGATTGAGAGCGGAGACGAGAGACATGGATGCTGATGCGGTGGAGTGCGGTCGCGGTAGGTAGGAGTAGGCCGGATATGAGCAGAATTTGGTGGAGGCGAATGCGGAGGCAAAATCTGATGAACGTTCTTTTTCCATGGCTCTAGAACGAACAGGCGCAAGTGGAGGAAGCTCAAAAGTTCTAAACTAATCTGCAGCAGGAAGCAAGGGGTTGCGTCGGGTGAGTAAAAGGGCCCTTCGATGCTAACTACGCACGGGCTAGACACACACCGAAATACAGGGTAGGGTATGCGACATTCTTGTTGTGGAAAACCGTAAAAACATCTAGCCGCGGGAACCCAGAACAGATGAAAGCCTGCCTGGCTGCCTGGCTCTGAACTCGAACAGGAGGCTTGGTTGGGTTGGATGTGAAGGAGACGGAAACGAACAGGCAGGAAGTGTTGTTGGTTGGGATAGGGTAGGGAGGGAGGAGGGAAGGGTGTGAGAAGTGAACTGGAAGCACAAAACACCAGGCGTTCCTGCACAAGGGGAGTGAGGTGGAAAGGATAATATTTGGTGGGGGGAATTGTGGGAAGGGCTGATGACGAGGCAGCAGTTCACTGTGCATCCTAGGCAAGGGCTGATGGACACTGAATCTTTTCGCAAATTTACCAAACACAGCAGGAAGTTGAGTAAATTCTAAACATTTACAGCGCTTTCTCGAGTTTTATATAAATGTTCCATTCATGTACATAATTCTATAGGTTCGTGGAATTTGTGTGCTGGCGTTAGTTTCGGGGCAAACAAACTGTTCGTCAATGGGAATGTGGAAAATGCACAGACGCGTAGCAGGAAGACGTTTGACTCGGGTTCGGCCAGTAGAGAAAATTGTTGTGTACACTGCACACAAAGTGGAAAATGTGCACAGAAAGCTCATAAAAAAATTGCCATGCAATCCATGAATGGGAAACGCTCAATGTTTGGACTGTTTGTTGATACAGTACAGCCACAAGGATACGCCACTTGACGGCGCATGGCGTGAATCTGCCACTGATTCCTGAACATCCCTTCTCATCTGAGGGCGTGGTGGTGCAATTGCAAGGACCCTCCTCTATGATGACGTGGACCAACCGCATATGACTGCTTTGCACACGAGTTTCCAGATTGTAATCATATCCATAAGACCAGCAGATCTGAGGCATCCACCCACCGCAATGCAGTCCAACCATCCCATCCACCCCAGCAATCGACACTACCCCCACAGCGATTGTGTGCCCGAAAACAAAATATTCAGGCAAATAAGATTTGAGGAGGGGCAGCCAGCAAAGCCAAACGGACCGCTCCATCATTATCCATATCCTCTGGAAGGAGCTAGAACATTTCGCAGTATCCAATGGCTTCACGCCATCATTGCTGATATTCCAGCACCACACGATTTTGCGAATGAAAGCGGAGTAATGCTGCAATTCCAACCAATAGCTTTGTGCCGCATCGGAAGATATCCTCAAAACAGGTACCCCAAATCAGCAGGGCATTCATTTGATACAGACATAACCGATGTAAAGCCGCGATACAAGCTGTACTTGGACTTTCTGTTGCAAATTATAATTTCAAACAGGAGTTGTGGTCACTTGCACATCCACCTTCACATTGCAAGGCCAAACTTATGTGGTGTCTTTTCTTGTGTATATGTAATATCGCTGCTACCCACCATTGATTTCCGTTTTTCCACAACCATCCACTATATATAAAGTAGCATGCACATTCGCCAAAGAATGGTTGGGTTGGTTGACGGTGGGACTGAACTGAAGCCATCTACTTGGTCACATCTGGGATCCTCATTCCAGGTCCTCGCTTCCGATTGTCAAGACTGTTAGGGGATAGCACGAAAGTGAAATATGTTTTAGAGACATGCACGCGGACTGGGAGGAACAGGGTGCACGCAAAAATGAGTGTGTGCATGTACGTGTGAGCATCAAGTGTGAGGTGAAGAAAGCAAGAGAAAGAGAGCAGAGGTATACATAATAAAGAAGGACACGAGTAGCAAAATGGATTGATCTTACAGAACCCATTGCTCCACTTACAATGGGGCGAGCTTCCCAAGGTTGACCAGGACGTCCCATCAACTCCCGACACACTTCAGCGCAGTTCCACTCAGGCCGCCACGCAATCTTAAAACATCACCACCCAGAACATTCCCACCAACAAGTCACCCAAAACATCCCAGGGACACACCCCCGCCGCCCACTTACGATGGTGCGAGCTTCCGAAGGCTGACCAGGAACTCTCCGCTGAGACCGTCAAACACAGTCCCATCTGCTTTCATCTCGATATGCCACGCATTCCTGAAACAACTCTCAACCACCTCCCAGCACATTTCCAGTCATCCCCAGTCATCCCCAGAAACCCTGCCTTCCCACTCACGAGAGCGAGAGCTTCCCAAGGTTGACTAGGAACTCCCCGCTAAGCCCGTCAAACGCATTCCCATTCGCCTCCACTCAATACGCCATACATTCCTGAAACAACTCTCAGCCCCTCCCCATTGACACCTCCCAGAGCAACCCCAGTCATTCCCAGGCACCCAGCATTTCCAGGCACTCACGAGGGTGCGAGCTTCCCAAGGTTGACCAGGAACTCCCCGCTGAGACCGTCAAACACATTCCCGTTCGCCTCCACTCGATACGCCATGTTGTCTGTCAGCGGCAGCCCCCTCTTCACGAGTCTGTCCAGGTCCTTGCGGTGCAGCTCCCTCGCATTCACATACACCTTGGTGTCGCCTCCAGAGCAGGTTTTTGGAAGGGCAGGACCGAGCTCAATCCCAGGCTGTAGAGGGAGAGAGGGAGAGGTGACAATGAATCAACGTGTCTGTCTGTCAGCGACAGCTCCCTCTTGACGAGTCTATCCAGGTCCTTGCGGTGCAGCTCCCTCGCATTCACATACACCTCGGTGTCGCCCCCAGAGCAGGTCTTTGGAAGGGCGGGACCTAGCTCAATCCCAGGCTGGTGAGGGGTTGGGAGTGGTGGAGAGGGAGGAGAGGAGAGAGCGAGTCACTGTGTCTGAGTATCAGATGCAGACGAGTCTATCCAGGTCCTTGCGGTGCAGCTCCCTCGCATTCACATACACCTTGGTGTCGCCCCCAGAGCAGGTCTTTGGGAGGACAAGACCCAGGTCAAGGCCAGGCTGCAGAGCGGTTAGGAGTGGTGGAGAGGGAGGAGAAGGAGGTGATCGTGTCTCACTGTTTCGTCGATGCCCCTGACTGCTACTGCATCAATCATAAAAATAATAGCTGAATCTTTCACCTTACATTCGCTACTGCATCTGTCACCTTTACCTAAGAATCTGTCTCACAGGAGGTGCTCAATTATTGGTCTAAATTTCTTCTCAGATTCGCTTACCTGAACTAATAGAGAGCGTTTCCAGAGGCAAATTCAAAGGAGCCTCAAGAATTATCACTATCTGAGGACTTGCATCAGAATTGGTTGGATAATTTGTAGACATGTACAGTAGCAGCCAACTCACCGGGATCATCCCAAGGCAGGGCCCTCCCATTTGGCCCCAGAAACCTGCTACTTGGTCGTACCTGCAGGGGAGAGTTGGTGGCGCAAATGGGTGGGAGCACAGGGTAACAGAAAATGCAGAAATCGGTAAAAAGAACCGACTCAAATCGAGAGAAGGGCGTCGTGTCTTATCTCTAGTGCCTTGTCAAGGAAGTGACGACAGCACTAAACGGCAGAATGCCTTGGACTTAACATGACTTGACGGACCCGATTTGACTTGACTCGGGGCGATATGGGACATAGCATCTCATTGACTCGCAATGCACACACGTTTACCAGTAGTTCCCAGGCTGAATGGGCCCCGCACGTTCCTCCGCAGCTGCCACGTGGTCATCACTGATTGGCTCCCCATTCACCACAACGCACCGCGAGTACGTCAACCTCCCATCCCCTCTCCCTACCCCAGCACCACCCCCCCCAGAACCCATCTTATTCCCCGTACTAGCCATCCCACCACCACCACCCGCAATACTCGTCCCAGAGCCCACTCTAACCATGCCACTTGCATTAGTCGCTCTGGCTTCACCCCCTCTGCTTGCAGCCTTTGCAGGAGGGGTCCTAGCAGGAGATTCATTACCAGAGGAATCACTTACTGAGCCTACAGGGGACAGCATTCCAGGGCTGATGCTCCTAAGCGACTCAGAGCTCCCAACCCTTCCTATCCTTCCTTGACCATCTGTGCCTGCTGCCGAACCTGCTCCCGAACTTGCTCTCAGACCTGTTGTCGAGCCTGTTCCCGACCTGCCAGGTCCCAAACCTAATTTGAGAGGTTTGGAGGGACTAGAATTGGTGCCCCTGCCGCTCCTTCCTCTGCCCGACCCTGCTGCAGCGGCAGCAGGCGTGGTTCCCGGGGCACCGCCAGACCCTTTAAAAGCAGACCCGTTAGTGGCAGCCCCAGGGCTTGGTACAATGGCGGTCCTGGCTTCATTGCAGTCAGTGGAAGTGGAGCGAACGCAGAGGTACTGTTGCTGTTGCTTTGTGGCGTCGATAGCAGAGAAAGACGAGGAGCGGACATGCTGCTGAGAAACCTGCTGCTGCTGCTGCTGCTGCTGCTGCTGCTGCTGCTGCTGCTGCTGCTGCTGCTGCTGCTGCTGCTGCTGCTGCTGCTGCTGCTGCTGCTGCTGCTGCTGCTGCTGCTGCTGCTGCTGCTGCTGCTGCTGCTGCTGCTGCTGCTGCTGCACCTGCTGCTGTGGCTGCTGCTGAAACGGCTGCAGCTGCTGCTGCAAGTGGGGCAGGTGTGGGGTGAAGGCACGAAATCGCGAGAGAGAGATGCACTTGCCGCAGCGCAGCTTGTGTATGCCCTTCTTGGTGGGCGGGAGGACAGCCGGGATCTCGAGAAGCTGCCCGCAGTGCTGGCACTGAGAGATGACGGCAGGAGCATTGGCAGGAAAGGGGAAAAAGATGAAGAGAAAAAAAGGGCTTATTGAGACGTTCAAAGGGCTTGAAAGCACGAGAGAGAGATGCACTAGCCACAGCGCAGCTTGTGCACGGCACGACCTTCTTGGTGGGCGGCAGCACGGCCAGGATCGCAAGAAGCTGCCCGCAGTGCTGGCACTGAGGGGAGGAGAAGGGGGAACGGACAGAAAAAAAAGGGCCGAGTGAACATGAGGGGTGGGAATTGGCGACGAGAAAGAAGGACGTGGGGGCAGAAAATGGTTGAGTGAGGGGGCGGTCGTAATGCAACCTCGTTTCAACCATTTCACAGTACTGTGGAATGAATGAGGGGTTGGTCGTAACAGGCGAGGTGGAATGAGGAGGTCACAACAAAACTGTGGGATGAGGAGAGTGGCAGCAGGAAGGGATGGGACAGACGTTTTCTCATGGAGAAAATGCATCTCTTGACAAGGGGCAAACCAATGGTGCTTGTGGGGTCCAAAAAGGAATGTGCCTGTTTCTGTTACGTTGCTGGCAGATTGCATGCCACTCTTATCATTCGGTGAGGCTTTGGTTTCAAAACGGTTTCCTTGGATCCAAGACATTTTTCTTCTTGAGCATTTGAACACCCAGTTCATAATAAACTCATGTCAAAGAGATCGCAGATATACGGCTTTTGAGGCGCCTCAGAAGCCGGCTGCAAATGCCATTTTCCTTTGCTAGCATGACCTTTGCTGACAAGCTCGAGGCTTACAGTAACGAGCTCGGATGAGCTTCCACCCACTTAGCTTCATGTTCTCCCTCCCATCCGCTTTCCCGAACAAACAAATCCTTTTCATTGCAAAAACAACCAAGAAGCTTCTTATTTGTGCATCGTTTACCACCAAGTCAGCTTAGCATATTCACTTCTTGACGCGGATTTGCTACCTCACTGCCTTGCATATCCTCTCCAGGAAAAAGAAAAGACGAAAAGTAGAGATTTCACCAATCCCAGTCGATTCCAATCCATCCCAACCTATCCCCACGAATTCCCATAAAGCCCTCACCCATCCCAATTATCTCCCACCCAACCATCTCACCTGAAGAATCTGAGGACGTCAAAGAAATAAAATACCCCATCAGCTTACCTGCACGACTTGAGGCAATCCCGGGGCTGGCAGCATGGGCAAATCCGCCGCCTCCCCCTCCCCTCGTTCCCCCTCTTCCCCAACCTGCGCCAACTGGGGAAACCCCGCATTGGTGGGGGAGAGCAATGGCCCCGCGCCAGAGATGTTCCCCCTAAGGGCGTATCCCCCAGGGCCGCTTCCCCCGAGCCCCTCCATCCGCGGAATGGCAGACACGGTCCGCGCAGGTCGCCCAACTCCCCCTCCCCCTCCCCCCTTCAACCCCGAACCTGTTGAGGAGCCTGTTCCCGGACCTGCCATCGAGGCTGCACTTGCTGCCGAGCCTCGCGGCTGAACCGGAGAGTACTGAGGAGCAGCATCAGCCCTCACCCCCAAATGCTGCATCAACACTCTTCCACTACTATCCATAGTAGGAGTGGATACACCTTCCCCTGCCGCCCCTTGCACACTAAACAGCCTAGGATTTACAACTTCTTGACCCCCTAGGCTAAGACCACGCACACCGCCCCCCGCCCGCCCTCTATACCCCGTTGTAGTCACGGATTTGGTAAAATCTCCCGAGTTACCCTCACTCGCTGCTGCCTCCCCACGGGGTTTCGGACTCTTCGCGCTGCCTGGTAACCCGTCGCCTTGTAACGCGGATTTCTGCAAGCTGGCGGGCAGGACCTGGCCGCTGATTGCTCGCCTTAGACCTTGTGACTGCGCTCCTGCTACCACTGCTCCCACTCCCGCTCCTGTTATCGCTCCCCCTCCTGCTAATGATCCCGCTCCTGTTACCGCTCCAACTCCTGCTGTTGCTCCTGTAATCTTTGCTCCTGTATTACCTCCTCCTTCTTTCGCCGCAGCTGCTGCTGCTAGTGCCGCCACACCAACCGCTCCTCGTTGCTGCTGTGCCTGCGGCCGTCGTTGCTGCCCTTGCTGCGCGGAACTCTTTCGCACGTCCATTTCACCGATCGTCACTGCCCGCGAAAACGTTTCGCCGGTTTCGCTGCTGATCTGCTGCCTGTTCGCGAGGCCGTTGTTACCACCGGGAGTGGCAGCACCGCCAATCCCGGTACTAACAGACCCGAAACCAGCGGATCCAAAGGCAGCACCATTTCCAACGGCAGTGACGGCGTTACCAGCGCTAGCGACGCCTCTAACGCTAACGCCGCTGCTCGCGCCAACGCCGCGGTTCGCGCTAACGCCGCTGCCAGCGGTAGCGCCGCGACTGGGAACTGCAGTGCCATTAGAGGCCATGGCAAGGGCTTTAAGACCAATCGCGCTGACTGCCCCACGAGCGGGTTTGACGGGGGAGTTTTGGAACCTGGGCTTGCACCCCAGCGTCATGGACCGGCCGAACTTATCCGCCTCGTTTTCCGGCTCGTCTTCGTCTTCATCGTCATCGTCATCGTCATCGTCATCGTCGTCTTCGTCTCCGTCATCGTCATCGTCATCGTCATCGTCATCGCCATCGTCATCATCAGAAACAAGTGCGGCTTGCTGCTTCTGCTGCTCCCTCTGAGGTTGCTGAGAGTGTGACTGCGGGCGCTGTGATCTTAGCGGGGAGATTCCGTCCTGCCCCCGCTGTAGGCCCAGCATGGACGGCGTGAATCCTTGATGCAGCGCGAGAGCAGTCTTTCCGTCTACAAGCGACACTGTGCGACTGATATGCGACGGTAGGTGCGACTGCTGCTGCGATTGTTGCTGCGACTGCTGGTGTAGCTTCTGCTGCTGCTGTTGCTGCAATAGCAGCTGTTGCTTTTCCGCGGAGCTGGACCGTGGGACGAGCAGCGACTGCACTCGGTTGTACCCACCAATAGCTGCAGACGAGTCATCTGTGTCCGCACTCGCCGATCGACCTTTCTTTCCTGGAAAGTTCTGCTTAAGAACTCCAGCGCCACTGTTGACGATGCCGGAGGACGCTCGGAAGAGTCGCGCGTGATGCGACGACACGTCTAAGAGAGACGTGCGACGAGAAATGGTCGGCTCTCGGCCAAAGGTAGGCTCGTCTGGCGTGCTGCTCGCGATTTGCGTTGATCCCTGAGGAAAGCTCATCCTGATTCTTGCACTGGGTGGCTTTTGAGTGTATGTTATTGAAGATGTTTTGATTGTTGGTTGAAACGGCGACTAAGTTATTGTGCTGGCTCCTGGGGGTAGCGAAGGGATTGGGGTTGGGACCCTGACTGATTGAATAATGCGCAAGCGCACATGCTTTTGGTATCGCTTCTACAAGCTTCTACATCACAAGGAACTAGCAATGGCGCCTGAAACTGACAATCACGAGAGATAAGACGAAGACGCTATGGGAAGCCAGTCGCGGACTAAGGGCGTGGAACCATAAACTATTTCGACTTGTGGTAAAATTACTGGAAGCGAGAATTGTCTGCGACCTAATATTCCAGATTCAGCAAGCGTATACATGTAATGCATTTGAATGCCGTGTTTCCCCATAATAATCGCTGCCAAGAGGGCAGCTGGCTGGCTGTACTACAGTCTCCTCTCCGCTATCTTGGAAGAAAAGGCTGAGCAGGAGCAGAGGACATGTGCTGTGGACATGTGTGAAGGCGGTGGTTGTGGTGGCGACAGGGCGATTCATGGCCATGGATGTGACGGGTCAGTGGGGTGGTGGTAGTTAATGCGTGCCCTTGAAGCTGGATTTCTATACCCTTTTTTACCGTACTGGAAAAACATCTGACCGTTTTATGACGTAACGAACCTTCAAAAATCATGTCCGCGTTTGGGAGACACGCTCAACAATTGTTCTCGGCAGAAATGAGGGAGGTTGGAGGAGCAGGTGGCCACAGGGAGCTCCACCTCCCATTCCCCGCCCAAAACAAACCAGTCTGTGCACGCTGGAGTCACTGTTTGATTACACGTGGTCAAAGTGGAACTGTACACTTCGTCCACGGGCACCTCCATTGGTTGCGATTGACCAACAAACTAGCGAAAAGTCAGTGTAGCTATATATCCTTCGCGAAAGTCAGAGTACCGTAACAAATATTTTCACTTACATTATACAGTCCGAGATGTACTTTCACATTACAGTTTCCACATTTATTCTCTATCTTGTATTGTTAATCACATTAACACATTTTCATATACGATGCAAGTTACTGCTAGGATTTTCAGCCCCTCTGTTTACTGGGTCTGATGGAAAGTCGTTTCGAAACAAACGTTGTTGGTTTATAGATGTTATAACTGTCAAATAACTGAATGAGAATGGATGCATTGACAAGAAACTGAGTACCGTATGGCCCCGGATATAGGCGCCGTCCGATTAAAGGCGCCGGCGCTTCTATCTGGAGCATGTCGCTTATGGCCGAAACTCGATTATAAGCGCCCCCCCTGGAAAACCCTTACTTATTATTAGCGCACGTACATTTTGAAATTATAAAATTGTTTAAAACGGTAACGAGTTTCATTTTCGCAGCGAGCCGAATTTCATCTTCGCTTCGTTTGACTCGCGAAGACCTGACTGGCTGCGCGTCCAATCAGGATGTGCTGGCATGCCTGCAAAGTGAGGTGAACTTGCTGGTGTGTAAGAAGCAGGATCGCTTGCGCGCGATTCTGCTTTGTGACGCTATATTATTTCGACTCGTTTGAAATGGCATCAATGAAAGGTACAGTTTGGTACCCTAAAAGTATAAATTTGTTTTTGTCATTATATAAGCGCATGCGCTTATGCCCGAAACTCAATTATAAGCGCCCCCCTTTTAAAAATCAATTTTATTATAAGCGCATATGCGCTACTATCCGGGGTGATACGATAAGTACTAACCCTAATTGGGTTGTACCCTTTATGGGCTACCCTGTCATAATATTTTTTTTCTATATTTATGTATAACGGCATGTAGTTCTAGCTGTAGTGTAGTTACTGTCATAGTCCTTGTAGGTGGTGCACCATTTGCCATCTCTCGCTCCTATGTCTTGTACCTTGCTCTCTTAGTGAATCACCTCCTTCCAAATCTTCTCGCCAACATTCTCGTAACTTAATCTCCTAGACTACCAAGTCTAGAACTACTTTCAAAATGGTTTCAGAGCAACTACGCTCCTAAGCCTAGCTTTCAATGGGCCCACCGATTTCTCCGCTAATGGCGCTCGTCACGCCCTTCGTCACGCCCTTCGTCGCGCCCTTAGTTGCGACGGTCGTGTCGTCCCCAACAAAGATTCCGACGGCGATCTGGACGCGCCCCCCTGCATCGCGCTACCCCGTCTCCTGCCCGTCGAGTTGCTCCGTAGTCACTCCGTCCGCCAGCTACCTTGTCGCGCCCTTGTTCCCACGTCGCTCTCTCTGCCCGCGCCTGTGTCTGCCGTGCGGGGAGGTGGCGGGTGGCGGGTGGGGAGGATTTGGCGGGGGAGCGGCACCCGTGGCGATCGACGCAACCCTTTCCCCCGTCCCGTTTTCTCCCCCCCATCGCCTCGACTGCCCGCTCCTGCTTATGCAGTGCGGGGAGGTGGCGGGTGGGGGGGAGAAGGCAGGGGAGTGGAGCCCCTGGTGGGGTGTCGGCCAGTGGGGGAAGCCCACGCCCTGCGTGCCTACCAGCGAGCAATCCAGCGGACCCGCCAGCGCACCAGCGAGCCCGCCAGCACTTCCGCCAGCAGCCTGCCCACACGCATGCGGACCCGCCAGCACGCCAGCAGACCCGCCTGGGAGGGTAAGGGGGTGGCGGGTGTGAGCAACCTGCTGCAGCCCCTCCTCCTCTCTCTCTCACTGCCGCACGTGCCGCTGTGGGGGGAGGGTGAGGGGGTGGCGGAAGGGGTGCAGTTCCGGGTGGGGGAAGGGGTGCAGTTCTAGGTGGCGGCTGAACAAGAGGGGTGCGGTTTCGGGGGGTGGCTGAAGAGGGGGGGGGTGAGGTTTAGGGGGGTGGCTGAAAGAGGGTGTGGACTTGGAGGTTCGTAAGAGGGGCTCGCCGCACTTGGCTCCCCCCCACCTCCTCTCCTCCCTCTCTCACCCCCCCCCCCTCTGTAAAAAGGAGGTTCGTAAGAGGGGCTCGCCGCGCTTGGCTCCCCCCCACCTCCTCTCCTCATCTCTCTCTCTCACACCCCCTCCTTTGTAATGGGGGTTCGTAAGAGGGGTTCGCCGCGTGGCTCCCCCCCACCTCCTCTCCTCATCACTCTCTCAACTCCTCCTCCTCACTTACCTCTATGTTGTCTTCCGCTGCGCAGGGTGTACCCCTTCAGGGGGTGTTATGCACATGGCTATTCTTGCATGCAGTTAGGGGGTGTGTCAGAATATATTATATATATATTTCTGTATAACTGCATGTAGTTCTAGCTGTAGTGTAGCTACTATCCTAGTCCCTGTAGGTGGAGCACCT